CAAGATGATGTCTAGGTGAAAAAGGCAAGATGATGCCTAGGCGTTAAGCCGAGATAATGCCTAGGCAACGAGCCAAAATAATGCCTAGGCAACGAGCCGAGATAATGCCTAGGCGACAAGGCGAGGTGATGCCTAGGCGATGAGTACAGTAAAATGATGCTTAGGTGACGATCGAAGATAATGCATAGGCGACGAGGTGTTTTCGTTTAGATGACGCCGAGCCGTGTTTAGCGATAACGACAAGGCGATTTTTATTGGCAATGCCGAGCCGTGTTTAATAATAACGACGAGGCGATTTTTATTGGCAATGCCGAGCCATGTATAACGACAAGGCGTTTTCATTATATGATGCCGAGCCGTGTATAACGACGAGGCGTTTGTTTTTTATTAACCAAAGATGATTTCGGGCCGTTCATTGAGATTTATCCATTCTATCACTGAGAGAGGTCCCATTGAGGTGAGCTGTTTTAGATTGTTTTGAGAAAGAATCTCCGACTAACGCCGAAGTATTTTTCAAGTAAGTTATGTGTTTTATAGGCCTTGTTCTCTTTGAGAGACTGATCATTCGTGAGGAAGAGTCGGGCATTGCAGCCAAAGTGTTTAGCTTGAGCCTGTTTTTTTCTTGCCGAGGCGTTAGCCCAGGGTTTCTCATTGATGAGGCAAAAGTTCAAGAGGATATAGTGTTCTTTTTGGAATATGACTATAGACCGGCGTTCCCGAGAGGGTGAGTGCGTTTTGCCGGGTTTAAGAGTTCACTTCGGTTTTAGAGAAAGCGATGTAGTCTCGACTTATAATCTTGTGTGCGATAGTGAACTGTGGCGACCGATACGTTTTTAGTCTGAAATTTTTATAGTGCGCTTAATTTTTATCCATAGAGGATGTAACTTGCACCCTCGTCCTAGGAAAGGTGGTAAAAAGTCCGTTTAGAGAACTTGGTATTTGTTGTCTCGTTGTGGCCAGCAACGAGACGAGGCGTACAGTGTTTGGATACCAAAGTAGAACTTTGCCAAAGCAATGCAAGATCAATGAACATAAAGTGCTTTGTAAAACAAGTAAAATGTTTAGCTGACGTAAAAACAAGTGAATAAAAGACTAGCCGAAGTGAAAGCAAGTGAATGAAAACTAGCCGAAGTGAAAGCAAGTGAACGAAAAAATGAAGTGAAATAAATCTAGACATACCTGACTTGACGAGCTAAAAATTTAAGATATGGTGTAAGTATATCTTAGGAGGGGGGATAGCTGAACCCGTCCGAGGACGGACTGCCTACGTACCCTTTGCAGGGATCAAGCCGTCCCGTAGTCCATGCTGGTCGTGGTGCATCCTTAGTGATAGTATCTCTTCAGATGCGGAGTTAAAATCAAGCTCCGGATTGCTGCTTTCGTCGCTTCGTATTGCTCGTCTAAATTCTTCATTTCTTCCTCATTCACGATAAAGTCTGATGATCGATGCAGAGCATCCTGAATTATTTGCGGCGTGTTCAGAGCCATCTCCCTTCGAAACTCTGATTTGTACCATAGGGATCGTTTTAGGGCTTCAAGGGCGGCCTTGTCACTTATTCCTTCTACTTTGGACACAACAGCTTTGAACCTTGCCATGTAATCCCGAAGCGGTTCGTTAGGTCCTTGAGATAACGTCCATAGATCGGCGTCGGAGGTGCCTCGGTCCATGAACATCGAGTACTGCTTCGTCAACTTGAATGCCATTTAGTGCCGAGGCGAGCTCTTCTTGGCTTATTCGCCGAGCCGAGCCATTTTGTTGTGACTTCGTGGTTCCATCATTCTGTTGGGCGTCCACGTCGATCGCGTCATTCTCCTCTTCGCCGGCCCGTCGCCTTGAGTTCCGACGGAGTGGAAGCGGCTCGGTCATGTTAACTCGGGTTTCCGCGGGAGTCTGTTCGCCGAGGAGACAAAACATTGGTGGAGCCAAGGGGTTTCTCGCGCCGCTCCCCGAGGCTTCTGCAGGCGTTGAGAAATCGAAGCGTCTCCGGATTCCATCCATCGGGTCGGAGATTCAAGCTCTCCAAGTTGGGTGTCGTCGCTCGGCCGTCATCACGTCGAGCCTCTGCCTCGTTTCTTTTGTCCTGCTCGTCGATCTTCTTCATCAATGCAGTCATCATGTTTTGCATCTCCTCTTGGATTTCGGTCGTCGCCATCGTTGTGCTTGATGCTGGAGCGTCCTTTTCCGCGCCGTTATCGTTGTTGTTGTTGTTGTTATCGTCGAGGGTGTTGCTCGCCATGTTCTTCAGATCTTAAAGTCTTGTCGATTTAGAGAAAAGAAGTTTCAATCTCCCCACAGACGGCGCCAAATTGTGTGAGTCAAAACTCGCACAACCAGAAATTTGTTTAAGGAAAACTAAGGGATCGGAAACTTCTAGGGTTTATCGCCAAACACAGTAAGATCGAAAGAAAGTTTTTCTTGCTGTAAAACTGTTTAGCTCTTATTGCTTAGGGTTGCAAAAGTTACAGAATGAATTGTATACATCATCTATTTATAATAATTCTCCGAACCGCCTAGCCGAGAATCTCGGGAGAGATTTTCGGAATATTTCCTTATCGCCTCGTGCGGCTCACCGCCTTTGTATTTCGCCTAGGGTTTTTATGGGCTCCGTCTCTCAAGGCCTTAGTTCAGCCCATCTGAACTTTTCCACGGCTCGGCCCATCTAACTTCTCCACGGCTCGGCACACTTGCCATTTTAGTCGAGACATGATCCGGTCCACCTCACCGAGCCGCGGCTCGGCCCAGGCATGTTGGAGAGGGGCGCAGCCCATTTCTTACGATTTGGCTCGGCCCATCTATCTTTCTTCGCGGCTCTCCCTACTGGTCTATCTTCACAGCTCTCCCACTTGGTGATCGCGGCTCTCCCACTTGTCTTGGTGAGAACGGCTCTCCCACTTGTCTTGGTGAGAACGGCTCTCCCACTGGTCTTGGTGAGAACGGCTCTCCCACTTGTCTTTCTTCCATACTTAGTCATTTTGAGATGGTTTTATCTGCTTGGGGTGAAAACCGACCCTAACAGTGAGTCACCAAGTAGCCGAGGAACTCTCCCGAGGTTACTGCAAATCTGCACTTCGCCGGGTTCAGTTTCATGTTATGTTTGTTCAACTACTCGAAGCATTCTCGTAGGTGCGCGATATGGTTTTTTTCTTCGAGTGATTTGACAAACATATCGTCGATGTATACCTCCATGGTTTTTCCGAGCTGATCTGCAAACATTTTATTGACGAGCCGCTGATATGTTGCCCCGGCGTTCTTGAGTCCGAACGGCATGACTTTGTAGCAGTATATCCCGCGATCGGTTATGAACGCCATTTTTTCCCGGTCATCGGGATGCATTAGGATTTTGTTGTAACCAGAAAACGCGTCCATAAATGTGAACAACCTGTTTCCCGCGGTGGCTTCGACGAGCCGGTCGATGTGTGGTAGTGGGAAACTGTCTTTTGGGCACGCCATGTTGAGGTCAGTGAAGTCTACACAGACCCGCCATTTGCCGTTCTTCTTCTTCACAACCACCGGATTCGCAATCCAGTCCGGGTATTTTGCCTCGGCGATTGATCCTACTTTGAGCAATCTTTCCACTTCGTCGTTAACTGCTTTAGCTCACTCGGGTCCGAGTTTCCTCCTTTTTTGCTTGATTGGTTTGAAGGTTGGGTCCACGTTCAGCTCGTGACAGGTCACGTCGATGCTTATGCCTAGCATATCCTCCGCTGTCCAGGTAAAAGTGTCGATATTCTCCTTGAGGAGGGAAAGAAGCTCGTTCTGGACGCGCTTCGTCTATGCATACCGAGTCCACCGCGTCACATACCGGCTCGCCGCGCGTTTCACAGCTCTCCGTGATCTGTAATTGCTATAAGAGTTTCGAGAGCTCGTTCGCAGGCTCTCGGTCCGTCTTCAGCTTTTTGCGATCTACGTCTGCTCGTGCATCGGTGACGGGGTTCCTCAACTTGTACTCCGTCAAGCAACACATTCGTGACTCCCTCAGGTTTCCCCAAATTGTTTTGATGCCAGCTGGAGTCGAGAATTTGAGGCAGAGGTGATAGGTGGAAGGGACAGCCCTCATCGCATAGATCCATGGAGTTCTCATAATCACATTGTAGATTGCTAGGTGATTGGTGACGCAGAATTCGACGATCCTAGTGACCCCGCCTGCTACCACAGGGAGCCTATTTGTGCCTATAGTTATCGTTGTTTCTCCAGAAAATCCGGTTAGAGGTTTGGGGATCGCCGTCACCTCGGAGAGATCGATTCCCATCCTTCTGAGTGTCTCCCTAAAAATGATGTTTACCGAGCTCCCAGTATCGATGAGCACTCTTGCTACATCGTGGTCTCTGATCGTCAATTCGATCACTAGTGGATCGTTGTGCAGTCTATCTATCCCTGCCATTTCCTCTTCGGCGAAGGAGATCACCGTATTCGGAATATCGGTCGGTTCTGTCCAATTTTCCTTCGCTTCGGCTCGGCGCTGATAAGCCTTGATGGAAGACACCATGATCATGTTGATCCTTTGTCTCGGCTCGGGTCGCTCTTCGGGTTCGCCTCTCCTCTCGCGCTTGGTGTTATCGTCTTGTCGGGGAGGATTTGCGGGTTTTGCCGTGCCGCTCGGCTCGGCTCCCTCTTTTGGCTCATTAGGGACGTCGTCTTTAAGATTCACCGTGTTCGGGAGCTCTCCTGCTGCCATTTTAGCCGCGATTTGCCTCCTAGAGTTCGGCATTGCGCCGTCGAGTGCCCATAGGTTTGGTGATACTCACAGAACGCCTTTTCGTCATAGTTGGTGGGTCTTCTTACCCAAGTGTTGCTGCGCGGCTCTCCTCTTCCTCGTCCAGCGCCAACTTCGTAGTTGTGGGCACCTCCTCTTCTTGGTTCGTCCGAGCTCTGCGTCGTTGCGTTGTTTGATGGGTTGCCTTTCTTCGAGGGGCGCGTCAAGATTGAGCTCCGTATCGCTGCTTTCGTCGCTTCGTACTGCTCGTCCAGATTTTTCATCTCTTCTTCGTTCACGACAAAATCTGACGACAGATGTAAGGCATCTTGAATCGTTTGTGGCGTGTTGAGGGCCATTTCCCATCGGAATTCAGATTTGTACCACAAGGACCGCTTCAGAGCTTCGAGTGCGGCCTTGTCGCTGATTCCATCTACTTTGGATACGACCGCCTTGAACCTTGCCATGTAATCCCGAAGCGGTTCATTCGGTCCTTGGGATAGCGTCCACAAGTCGGCATCCGAAGTTCCTCTATCCATGAACATCGAATACTGCTTAAAGAATATAGCAGAGAGCTGTTGAAAACTGCCGATTGAATTGCGCTCATGTCTCGAAAACCATTCGAGCGCGGCTCCCTTAAGATGTTCTACGAAGAGTAGGCAGTATCTGGCATCTACTTCCTACTCTGTCAGATTGGCAGCGTTCTTTGTGAAAGCTCGTCCCATTGCTATCCGAAACGCTGTGATGCACTTGAGACTTCATGGTGCGTATCTTGGCCACTGTCCGAGCCATTGAGGCTCGCAGCTCTTTGATTTCGAGGGTTTGTGCATGAGTCATTCCCTTTGATTGGTGCGGCCGCTCCCGCTCTTCTCTCCTCGGCTCGTTTTCGCGCTCTGCCTGCTCGATCCATTGGAGGTTTTCCTCTTCTTCAGTCGGGTTGTCGCCGCGAGCCGGATCGGTGACTTCATCAGTCCAAATGCCGTTTAGTGCTGAGGCGAGCCATCTTGGCTTATTCGCCGAGACGAGCTGTTTTGTTGCGAGTTCGCGATTCCGTCGCTTTGTTGGGCGTCCACGTTGATCACGTCGTTCTCCTCTTCGTCGGCACGTCGCCTTGAGTTTTGACGGAGTGGAGGCGGCTTGGTCATGTTGATTCGGGTTGCTGCTGGAGTCTGTTCGCCAAGGGGACGAAACATTGGTGGAGCCAAGGGGTTTTTTGCGCCGCTACCCGAGGCTTCTGCAGGCGGTGAAAAATCGAAGCGTCTCCGGACTCCATCCATCAGATCGGGGATTCCGGCTCTCCAAGTCGGGTGTCGTCGCTCGGCCGTTATTGCGTCAAGCCATACCGTAATCGCCTTGTTTCTTTTGTCCTGCTCGTCGATCTTCTTCATCAACGCAGCCATCATGTTTCGCATCTCCGCTTGGGTTTCGGTTGTCGTCGTCGTTGTGCCTGATGCCGGAGCGTCCTTCTCCGCGCCGTTGTCATTGTTGTTGTTGTTGTTATCGTCGAGAGTGTTGCTCGCCATGTTCTTCGGATCTTAAAGTCTTCTCGATTTAGAGTAAGAAATTTTCGATTCTCCACAGATGGCGCCAAATTGTGTGAGCCAAAACTCGCACAACCAAAAATTTGTTAAGGAAAACTTAAGGGATCCGAAATTGCTAGGGTTTATCGCAAGAACAGTAAGATCAAAAGAAGGGTTTTGCTGAAAAGTGTTTAAGTCTTATTGCTCTCGAGTTATCAAAAATTACATCATGAATTGTTTACAGCGACTATTTATATAGAGTCTATGAACCGCCTAGCCGAGAATCGCGGAAAAGATTTTTGGAATATTTCCTTATCGCTTCGTGCGGCCACCGCCATAGCACTTTGCCTAGGATTTTTATGGGCGTAGGTCCTTTACGATCTTTGCTCATCTCATTAAAGAAGGACTGGCTCGGCCCAACACGAAGAAAAGCAGCTCGGCCCATTCTTCCTCTTGCTCAGCTTGACCCACTCTTTGTTCTTCTCACGGCTTGGCCCATTTATCTTCTTCCATGGCTCGGCCCACAATCTTGCTGAGCACAGCTCGGCCAACTTGTTTTGTGGGACGGCTCGACCTATATTCGGTGGGCATCTGTTCCTTCTTGCCAAATCGGTTTTCTCCAGTACTTAGTCATTTTTGAGATGGTTTTATCCGCTTGGGGTGAAACCGACCCCAACATGGTCCAAAGAAAATGACGGATTACAGACCCATCGCACTCTGCAATGTTTATTTCAAGATCATTTCAAAACTTCTGACGAGAAGACTTCAACCGGTGATATCCGACCTGATTTCTGAAAACCAATCTGCGTTTTTTCCTGGAAGACTAATTGCAGACAACGTTCTCATTACCCATGAAGTGCTCCACTATCTCAAAAACTTTGAAGCAAAGAAATTCTGCTCTATGGCCGTTAAAACGGACATGAGCAAAGCTTATGGATCGTTTTGAAATACTTTTTCTATGTTTTTAATTGCTTTTAAGTACTTTTATCACGTTTTTCTAATATTTGTAGTTCCAAGACTCTTTTCAGGTAACTTAGGGAAAAACTTAACAAAATGGATAGAAAACCAGATTTCAGCTCAGAGTCAAACCGTCAGAAGTTCACCCCTGATTGAAGGCCTTCTCACCGTCTGATCCAACTCAAATTTGGAGACCTTAAAGATGGAAGTATCAGCTTTCCAGCACACTTTACAGCTTGGCAATCCAACGGTTCAATCAAAAGATACGCGAAGAGCAAGATGTCCCGTAAACCAGCCGACAAGCAACTCCACCCGCGGCCAACAGGCCATTTCCCGCGGTCAGAAGCATCCCGACCGCGGCAAACCACTCATTCCCCGCGGTCACAGCACTCCCAACCGCGGCAAGACAACTCCGAGCCCAAAAGCCCATTTCTGAAGCCCACAATGATTCCCTCATTTGGAGAAACCCTAAGTGACGTCCAGAGATGTCTTGAGCACTATAAATACATGTTCTAGGAACCCTATTTCGAGGATATGCTATTTTTCTTATTGTTTTAGAATACTTTTAAGTTTTAGGTTTTAGGGAGAGAGAGATTTGTCTCTTGAACCCTTGTTCTTTCTTTTTCAATTTCGGTTTCTATTCTACTTCTTAATACTATGTTTTTGATTTCGTTCATCATGTCTGAGTAGTTCTATTGTTGGGATTAAGGGATTTTCGATGGGGATTTATATGTTCGATGAGGATTCCATGAGCTTTTGAGCCGAATCTTAGAACTTTTTCTTCTGAATTTGTTTTTACTGCATGAGAGTAGCGTCATGAACTACAATCTGATCCAGATGCTTGGTGACACGAAAGTGTTTATCCGATATCAGATCTAGTTTGGGAGAGCAAAATAAACATAGGAGTGGAAACCTACCTATGGGCGATTTGTGAATGCTGACGAGTCTTAAACATAATGCATCTCTTCTCTTCCAGGGCCAGAGTGGATACCTACTGGTCAGGGTTGAGAGAGATAGTTGTCTATGATCACGGCAGTGGCGTATTCATACGTCCGTGACTCCACTTCGAAAAGTTTAAGCTAAGATCTTATCAAATTTACTCTCTAGCAATGTTTTGAATCGTTTGTACCCCTGAGAAAACTTCCCTGAACCCCAACGCCTTCTTTCCTATTGATTAACACCGTTTTTATTTCAAGATTTAGTTCAATATTGTCTTTCCTTTTTAGTAGATTTTCATTTAAGCAATTAGAATATCCGTTTTTCTCATTTTTATTCATTTTCGTTAAGTTTAGTTATTAGGTCATTTAATTCTCGTATTTTCTTTTAAGATTTCGTTTTTATATTTTAAACACACTACCAAACCCCCACAAAACCGTTTTGGTTCTAGACTTCCTTATTTTATACTTATTTCAAAGGCTTTTTGCAGGAAAAGATCCTCCTTCCCTGTGGATTCGATCCCTAAGTACTACAATCGATCAGCTGTGCACTTGCGGCTATTGATTTCAATTAGGGTAAAACTTGACAACCCTCACTCACCACCACACCAAGTTTTTGGCACCGTTGCCGGGGAAGACACGCGTTTTCGTTTCTGCAAAACCCCGAGAAAGGTTGGTAAATCAACTCTAGAACCCCCTTTTCTGCAATTTTCCATTTTTTGGTTATTTTGTTTCCATTTCAGAAGATATGGATCCTATAAATCGAAATATACACTATGAGGAAGGTTTTTATAACACTCCTCAAGCCACCAGACGCAGAGAAGAACACCAAGCCCGAAGTCTTAGCTACATGGATCGATACAGCCAGCCAAACCATCCATACCACCAGCGCAGAGAGACTGTTTGACGCCGGGAAGATCCTTATGGTCCTCCTCCAACCTACTTCGAGCCACACACCTATAATCCTCCACTGCAGAACCCTAGTCAGCAAAGAGGACAACTTGAGTATCAGCAGACGTTTGGGACGCCTCGAAGGGATGATAAACCAGTTCCTTGATCAGCAGATTCTCACCGAAAACACCCTGCTCAAGAAAATTGATTCAATCTCTGAAGAGTTCAATAAAAATTCGATGATATGGCCAATCATGTTTGAGTTTTGGAAGAGCAAACCCACAAGGACTCACAAACACTAGCTGGGATGATCCACCAAGTCGCAACAGAGCAGACAAGACAAGGGTATGACATCATACAAAACTCAAGTGATATTGTCGAATCAAAACAGCAGATTAAAGAAGTCAGAGAATCCGCCTCCTGGTATAGAGAGAAGACAGATGAAGAGTTGCAAGAGATTGAGCACAGGCTGAACAAACTCGAGCTCAAAGCACGGGAGATTGATGCAAGAATGGAGCAGATTCCCAACATTGAGCAAATTGAGAGATTTTCTAAGAAATCTCCCAAAGATCCTGATGAAGATGCACATCAACGCCCTGGTATGAGTTCATATGATGCTAGTCTACCCAATAAAGAAGCTGGAGACGTTCGTATCAAGTACAAGAAGGAAGAGACAGACTATGAGCAGATTTCATCCGGAGCCGCGAGTCCGAGTGTTCCGACCGCGGCCAAAGCCTTGTTTCCCGCGGTCGCGACTCCTCTGACCGCGGGAGTTAGTCGCTCAGATGCACCTCCGGGTTTTGAGAGGAAAAGAATACATCTTTTGTCCCAACTTCAGCCTCCAGCACCTAAAAAAGCAACTCAGGAAGAAGAAGACCAAGTTTCAGATGAAGAACCAGATTGGCAGGAATCATTACCTTGTATGATGGCAAAGGAATGTGTTGAAGATTCAGCTGACTCTTCAATCCAAGAAGACCAGACATGCAGCGAGATAAAGATGCCATACATCGATTCAATCATTGAATATGACGCTGCAGCTTTCTTTTGTGAATCCTATTCTGCGTTCGAGACACCAGCCAATACCTATACAGAAAGGCAAGTTTGAATTCTCCATAAGGTCAAGACTACAGGTCAGTTTCTTATCTCTTGTTCTATTAGAGGAGAAATGTTTAAAAACGTGCTATGTGATTCTGGAGCTTGTCTTAACATGATGTCCAAGGCAATTGCTTTGAGACTTGGTATTAGACACCTGCGCAGGACTAGAGCAAAGATTAGTCTAGCTGATGATTCCAATGCAACACCTCAAGGAATAGCTCATGAAATTCCTTTGAAAATAAGAGATTGCATAGTGCCTGTCGACTTCTACATTGTCGAAACGAGAGATGCAACATATCCAGTGATTCTGGGATGGTCTTTTCTAGCAATTTCCAGAGCTATAATGGACTGGCCAAACCAGAGGATTTCATTTGCTAATATCGACAAAGATGTCTTCACAGAAGCTGTTCCATACAACAGCAAAGCAGGAAAATGTTATGCAACAGAAGAGTTTGAAGAAGAACTTTGGAGTGACGAAGAACCTGCTAGGCAAAGCAAGGAGATGTCGAAAAAGACTTGTCTCAGGACAAGGTCTTCTTCATTGGAATAAGTCACGTCCAACACCAAAAGTTGAGCTAAACGACTTAAACAAAAGCGCTTAATAGGAGGCAACCCATTTAGGTATTGTTTTCTTTAGAATTTTTCTTTCTTTTTCTTTTGATCTTTTTCTTTTTCTTAGTTTCAGGTGTTTCTTATAAAACAAAAAAGCCAAAAAAATCAAAAAACCCGAAAAAAAACCAAAAAGAAGGATGGTACCTGACTGCTCGGCCCAGCAGGAACCAAGGAGAAGCAGGAAGAGGCCGCGATATAAGCCCTCGCGGTCGCAGGCGTTCTGACCGCGGGAAACGACTCATCGACCGTGGTCGCGCGACCCCTGACCACGGCACTTGGTCGTTGACATTCAAACCCGACCCCAAACCACCCACTTCACCCCATTCCACCTCACCAATCACCCTCCACCTCATTCATCACCCTCCACCACCTTCATCACCACCTAATCACCTTCCCAAACCCCTTCGAATGAATCCGGTTCATCTCCACCAGCATCCCAGATCCAGGTAAGTTCTCTTTGTGACAAATTCGATTATCTATGCATTTTTCTCATCCAATCTCGACTTGTTTCACACTGAGAACAGTATGATTTAAGTCTGGGGGAGGATTTCATCCCTTTCTAACCACTTTTCTTTCATGAGTCTTGCATTATCTACACTTTTGATCCTGAATGGCTAGTTCATCTTTAGCTAGTTCCCCACCTTAACCAATCCTCTTTCAAACCACATGCACTCTTGTTTTCTATTGTCTTATATGCAGATAAGTGCAAAAACGTTGGAGAGAAAGAGGAATGACGCAGTTTTCAGTCACCAAGGACAAAGACCTGCGATTTGCCGGAAAAGTTCCCGGAAGGATTCAACACAAGAGGAAACTCAGTTTGCCTTAGAAAAATCTCAAATTTTGGTACAATCTCGTCCTCTAGTCTCTTCCTCTTTAAAAGGCATTTCCTTTTCAAAAAAAAAAATAAAAAATCCGAAAATAAGAAAAGAAAAGAATAAAAGCCTTAGAGAGTCTAGAGAGGTCGAATTTTAAGTCCCAAGGCAACTGGAGTTCGATTTTATGGAGTTTTGGAGATCGTTTTCTGATTCCCGGAAAGAATCTAAGTCTGAGAGAACAGCTGTTTACAACAAAGGAGGAAGGATTATGCAACAACATTTGGCAAGAAGAAGTAACTGAAAACTGTGGTCATCAACAGGTCCTTATCTCTCTTGCGGTTTTGCATATTATCTTGCATCCTCTAGATCTTCAGGTAACCCGAAACACTTTAACTCCACCACTTAAATAGCCCTTTAATGCCAAACGCCGTCTACCCTGGATGATGTCTTTAATGAGAACTCACTATTGAACTTAATGAATGTAGAGAGCTAGTTGACTGGAATCAAGATTTAATTTGTTTAAGTTTTGCATGACGGAAAAAGTGGACTAGTATCTTTTGTGCATTGGTGAGAATTTTCTAGACTAAGTTATGGATTGATGCACTATCTTTGGTCCTAGTTTAGGAGTTCATGTCTATGAGATTTGTGCATTTCCTATTTTTGTTTTCACTTAACCAGTTTAGGCTTTTGCTTTGTTTGAGGACAAACAAAGGTTTAAGTCTGGGGGAGTTGATAACACCGTATTTTGACCACTTTATGGATCGTTTTGAAATACTTTTTCTATGTTTTTAATTGCTTTTAAGTATTTTTATCACGTTTTTCTAGTATTTGTAGTTCCAAGACTCTTTTCAGGTAACTTAGGGAAAAACTTAACAAAATGGATAGAAAACCAGATTTCAGCTCAGAGTCAAACCGTCATCACACCTGATTGAAGGCATTCTCACCGTCTGATCCAGCTCAAATTTGGAGACCTTAAAGATGGAAGTATCAGATTTCCAGCACACTTTACAGCTTGGCAATCCAACGGTTCAATCAAAAGATACGCGAAGAGCAAGATGTCCCGTAAACCAGCCGACAAGCAACTCCACCCGCGGCCAACAGGCCATTTCCCGCGGTCAGAAGCATCCCGACCGCGGCAAACCACTCATTCCCCGCGGTCACAGCACTCCCGACCGCGGCAAGCCAACTCCGAGCCCAAAAGCCCATTTCTGAAGATCACAATAATTCCCTCATTTGGAGAAACCCTAAGTGACGTCCAGAGATGTCTTGAGCACTATAAATACATGTTTTAGGAACCATATTTCGAGGATATGCTATTTTTCTTATTGTTTTAGAATACTTTTAAGTTTTAGGTTTTAGGGAGAGAGAGATTTGTCTCTTGAACCCTTGTTCTTTCTTTTTCCATTTCGGTTTCTATTCTACTTCTTAATACTATGTTTTTGATTTCGTTCATCATGTCTGAGTAGTTCTATTGTTGGGATTAAGGGATTTTCGATGGGGATTTATATGTTCGATGAGGATTCCATGAGCTTTTGAGCCGAATCTTAGAACTTTTTCTTCTGAATTTGTTTTTACTGCATGAGAGTAGCGTCATGAACTACAATCTGATCCAGATGCTTGGTGACACGAAAGTGTTTATCCGATATCAGATCTAGTTTGGGAGAGAAAAATAAACATAGGAGTGGAAACCTACCTATGGGCGATTTGTGAATGCTGACGAGTCTTAAACATAATGCATCTCTTCTCTTCCAGGGCCAGAGTGGAAACCTACTGGTCAGGGTTGAGAGAGATAGTTGTCTATGATCACGACAGTGGCGTATTCATACGTCTGTGACTCCACTTCGAAAAGTTTAAGCTAAGATCTTATCAAATTTACTCTCTAGCAATGTTTTGAATCGTTCGTACCCCTGAGAAAACTTCCCTGAACCCCAACGCCTTCTTTCCTATTGATTTACACCGTTTTTATTTCAAGCTTTAGTTCAATATTGTCTTTCCTTTTTAGTAGATTTTCATTTAAGCAATTAGAATATCCATTTTTCTCATTTTTATTCATTTTCGTTAAGTTTAGTTATTAGGTCATTTAATTCCCGTATTTTCTTTTAAGATTTCGTTTTTATATTTTAAACACACTACCAAACCCCCAGAAAACCGTTTTGGTTCTAGACTTCCTTACTTTATACTTATTTCAAAGGCTTTTTGCAGGAAAAGATCCTTCTTCCCTGTGGATTCGATCCCTAAGTACTACAATCGATCAGCTGTGCATTTGCGGCTATTGATTTCAATTTGGGTAAAACTTGACAACCCTCACTCACCACCACATCAAGCCTCGGGTCAAGTTATCAGTCTTGATAAGTCTTCTATCACTTTCTCTCGGAAAACCCCACCTGAAATCCGCGTGCGAGTTAAACAGGAGCTGAAAATCTCCAAAGAAGGCGGTGTGGGGAAGTACTTAGGCTTGCCAGAAAATTTTGGGAGACGTAAGGAGGGCCTCTTCACAAGTATTGTGGATAAAATTCGACAAAAAGCTCTCAGCTGGTCAAATAGATTCTTATCGGGTGCTGGGAAGCTGGTTTTGCTTAAGAGCATTCTGTCAGCTATCCCCTCCTATGCCATGAGCTGCTTCAAGCTCTCTGTCTCACTTTGTAAAAGAATACAATCGGCCTTAACCCGGTTTTGGTGGGATGCAAAGATGGACTACCGGAAGCTCTGCTGGGTATCTTGAGATAAAATGACCCACCATAAGGACAATAGAGGTCTTGGGATGCGAGATATCTTGGCTTTTAATGACGCCATGTTGGGTAAGCTGAGCTGGCGACTTATTCAGAACCCGAATAGCCTTTTGGCCAGGACATTACTTGGTAAATACTGCTGGATGAATGACTTCCTGAGCTGTGAGTGTCCTACGTCTGCTTCTCATGGCTGGAGAAGCATTTTGTGTGGTAGAGATCTTATTCGCAAAAACATTGGATGGGCTATCGGTAATGGCAAGTCTGTTAAGTTGTGGGGTGAGAACTGGTTATCCACGTCCCAACCCTACTCCCCTCACGGTCCTTTGCTCCCGGAACAAGAGACTCTGCGGGTCTCAGACCTGTTAGATGCCACTTCGTTTGAGTGGAGCTGTGAAAAAATTTCGAAGCACCTCCCAGGCTTGGAAAACGAAATCCTCGCAATAAAACCAAGTATTTTTGGTGGAAGAGACAGGCGTATCTGGTTGAAGGACAAATCAGGCGTCTACACTACCAAATCAGGATATTATGCTGCTAAGGAGGATCGTCTCCCTCCCCAACTTGATTCTTGTCTGAGCTGGAGATCAGATGTGTGGAGGATCCAAACAGCTCCTAAAGTAAAGTCATTTCTTTGGAGAGCAGCCAATGGAGCTCTACCAGTGGGTGCAAATCTGGAAAACCGAATTCAAGCAAGTGCCTTTCCTTGCTCCCGGTGTGGAGATGCTGAAACCACCCCTCATCTGTTGTTTTACTGTGAGTTTGCACGACAAATTTGGAAAGAGTCACCTTGGGTTTTGACCCTCCTCCAAACCTCCAATTTGACAGCCTGTGGAAAGCTTGTCGATTGATCAAATGCCCCGAGGCTCCGTGCACCCCTGTTGGATCTTTAGCCTCTTGGCTATGCTGGTATATTTGGACCGCAAGAAACAAGAGGGTGTTTACGGACAGGGATTTCTCTGTCTCTGAGATCATCACTAATGCCCTCAATGCTTCCAAAGAATGGACTGCAAACCAGGGGAGTAAACCCAAGGCTGCTGAGTCATTGGTGCCCCATCTCCCCCATGACGTTACCACTGAAGTGATCTGCCACTCCGATGCAGCGTGGAACGCATCTAACAACACCGCAGGGCTTGGATGGACAATTCAAGCTGGGAATGAGTCTCCCATTCAGAAGTTCTCGGCGACTTCCCAATGCGTCAGATCACCCCTCATGGCAGAAGGTCTTGCCATTCGAGCGGCTCTTTCTCATGCTGCAGCTGAAGATATAAGGTCTATCTTGGTCAACTCCGATTCCTTATCATTGATTAGAGCTCTAAGCTCTGGATCATTCATCTCTGAACTCCATGGAATTCTCGAGGATATCTCCTTACTTTCCAGTGGTTTTGAGAATGCAACTTTCAATTTTATCCCTAGATTATCAAACACTGTCGCTGATTCCCTAGCTAAATCCGCTTTGTATTCGGTTGAACCAATTTCTATTTGAGTAATGAAGAAGAAGTCTGCCAAAAAAAAAAAAAATAGTAAATAAAATAAGACTTGATAATGCTGTGAATTCACTTCACAAGCCTTTAATGACTATCATATATCATTTGGAATAGATGTCGAACATCATATTCTGCATGTTCACACACAAAATGCTTTGGCTGAGTCTTTGATTAAATGGTTGAAACTCATTGCTTAGACCGTTAATTGATAGCACCGTATTTTGACAACTTTTATGGATCGTTTTGAAATACTTTTTCTATGTTTTTTATTGCTTTCAAGTAATTTTATTATGTTTTTCTAGTATTTGTAGGTCCAAGACTCTTTTCAGGAAACTTAGGGAAACGCTTAACAAAATGGATAGAAGACCAGATTTTCAGTTCAGAGTCAAACCGTCAGAAGTTCACCCCCGATTTAAGGCCTTCTCACCGTCCGATCAAGCTCAAATTTAGAGATCTCAAAGATGGAAGTATCAGCTTTCCAGCACACTTTACTGCTTGGCAATCCAACGGTTCAATCAAAAGATACGCGAAGAGCAAGATGTCCCGTAAACCAGCCGGCAAGCATTTCCACCCGCGGCCAACAGCCATTTCACCACGGTCAGAGACTTCCCAACCGCAGCCAACCATCCATTCCCCGCGGTCACGCACATCCCGACCGCGGCCAGCCAACTCCGAACTCGAAGGCCCATTTCTGAAGCCTAAATCATTTTCTCAGCCTCAATTCCGGAACTCTAGACACCAGAGAGCATTGGAGACTATAAATACTTTTCATTTAGGACGTTTTTAAGGGAGACTAAATACTTTACAAGAAATTTTACTTTAAGCTTTTTTTTTAGGTTTAGGGAGAGAGAGATCTATCTCTTGAACCCTTGTTCTTTCTTTTTCAATTTCGATTATTGCTCTACTTTTTAATACTATGTTTTGGATTTCGTTCATCATATCTGAGTAGTTTTATTGTTGGGTCTAAGGGCTTTTCGATGGGGATATAGATGTTCGATGAGGATTCCATGAGCTATTGAAGCCGAATCTTAGAACTTCTTCTTCTGAATTTACTTTTACTGCATGAGAGTAGTGTCATGAACTACAATCTGATCCAGATGCTTGGTGACACGAAAGTGTTCATCCGGTGTCAGATCTAGTTTGGGAGAGCAAAAGAAACATAGGAGTGGAAACCTACCTATGGGCGATTTGTGAATGTTGATGAGTCTTAAACATAATGCATCTTTTCTCTTCCATGGCCAGAGTAAAAACCTACTGGTCAGGGTTGAGAGATATAGTTGCCTATGATCACGATAGTGTCGTATTCATACGTCTGTGACTCTAGTTCGAAAAGTTTAAGCTAAGATATTATCAAATTTACTCTCTAGCAATGTTTTGAATCGTTCATACCCCAGAGAAAACTTCCCTGAAACCCAGCGCCTTCTTTTCTATAGATTTACATCGATTTTCATTCAGGCTTTAGTCTAATATTTTTACTCTTTCAATCGATTTTCATTTAAGCAATTAAGTTTAGCCGTTTTCTCGTTTTTAGTCGATCTCATTAAGTTTAGTTATTAGGTCATTTTTTTCTTTTGTCAACAGCTTAAACTTCCTAGATTATTAGGTCATTTTAATTTTTGTATTTTCTAGTTAAGATTAGTTTTTACGTTTTAAAGACACCACCAAAACTCCTACAAAAATCGCCTGGTTCTAGACTTCCTTACTTTATATTTCTTTCGAAGGCTTTTGCAAGAAATATCCTCCTTCCCTGTGGATTCGATCCCTAAGTACTACAATCGATTAGTTGTGCACTTGCAGCTATTGATTTCATTTACGGTAAAATTAGACACCCTCACGACACGACACATCATTAATATTGAGCACAAATCTCTCAATTTCAGTGTGAGGTCCTGCTATCTTGCATGCAGTAGCATTTGTTGCACATTGATCCTCCTAGGAAACAACGTGAACTTGAAATTCAGAAAGTTTTACATTTTTAAATATGGTAAATGAATTACTAGATGCGTTCAAAAGATACAAAAAGAGTGAAAAGTCATATATACCCGCTGTAAATGTTCCATCAAGAATTAATTTTCCAGAAGAACAAACTGATGGAAAAATAGCAAGTGAACCCAATGTTCAGTTGAAAAGGAGGAGACCGATAGGCTCAAAGGATAAAAATCTCCGAAAAAGAAAGAAACTGGGAGAACAAAACAAAAATTGCCGAGAAGAACCACATACAGAGAAAGGTGCTAAAGACGAATATGAAAAAAAAAATATGAGATTTTCATCAATTATGTCCATGATGGAATATTATGGGCTAGAGATGAAATAGAAGGTAATGATGGAATATTCTCATTCTCTGTATTCAAAGAAATTGAAAATAGAAGTGATGATCCAGATCCAGTGTCCATATTGTAATGCGCAAAAAGATCTAACTAATAGAAGTGGAAAATAGCCATAGAGATTGAACTGATCTCCCTCAATAAAAAAAAATGTATTGTCACTACATCCAAAGATATAAATCCGGTGGGTACAAATGGGTTTTTGTGCGCAAAAAAATAATAAGAAATATGAAGTTACAAGATATAAAGCCCGGTTTGCTACCCAAGAATTGATTATAAAGAAAAGTATTCCTCAGTTATGGATGCCATTACATTCTGATTCTTAGTGAGTCTTGCGGTATCTAAAAATCTAAAAATGTATCTAATAGATGTTGTGACAGTATATCTATATGGATCACTTGATGATGATATCTATATTAAAATCCTTGAAGGATTGAAAATGACTGAAGCATCAACCTCAAAATATAAAAAGCTATATTTAGTCAAATTACAGTGATCACCGTACAGATTAAAACAATCCGGACACATGTGGTATAATTGCTTAAGCGAATATTTGCTAAAGAAAAGGTATGTGAATAATGCAATTTTTTCTTGCGTCAACATTAAAAAATCTTCATCAGGATTTGTGATCATTGATGTTTATACGGATGACTGAATATAATTGAAACTTAAATGGAGATTAGTGATGCAAGAACTCATATGAAAGAAAAGTTCAAAATGAAAGATCTCGGAAAGACAAAGTTTTATCTTGGATTACAGATAGAATGTTTCCGAGATGGAATAACAAAAGGTTCTTAAAATACTTTTATATGGAAAAAGCGACTCCTTTGAGTACTCCAATGGTTTCGATCGTTTGATACTAAAAAATATTTGTTCCGACCTTGTGAAGATAACAAATAAATATTAGGTCCTGAAATACCTTATATGAGCGTTATTGGTAGATTTATGTATCTTACAAATTATACCCGACCGGATATAGCATTTGCTACAAATTTTCTTGTAAGATATAGTTCATCCCCTACGCGCAGATATTGGAATGGAATAAAACATATTTTCCGTTATCTTCAAGGAAAAAATTATTTGGGATTGTTTTATCCTAGAAAATCCAAACTCGTTTTAGTCAATTTTGCAGATGCGAGATATTTATTAGATCCTCATAAGGCTCGATCGCAAACCAGATATGTTTTCACTTTTGGAGGAACTGCAATCTTGGCGTTCTCAAAAGTAGACATTTGTCGCCACTTCTTCAAATTATGAATAAACTATTGCGCTTCATGTGGCATGTAAAGAATGAGTATGGCTCAGATCTATGATCCATCACATACAAGAAGCATGTGGAATAGTCATCAATAAAGAGCCAACGAAATTGTTCGAAGATAATGCTGCATGTGTCACTCAACTCAAAGAAGGCTACATTAAGAGTGATAGAACAAAAGATATTCTTTCAAGTGACAATGCAACAGATCTTTTTACAAAGGTACTTCTTACTGCAACATTTAAAAAGCATATTTAAAGTATCAGAATGCGTCATTTATGAGATTTATGAAGAGAAAATTATATCCATTATTTAAGGGGGAAAATTGTGTTGCTGTACTCTTTTTTTCTTGTCATGGTCTTTATCACATTGAGTTTTTTTATGATAAAGTTTTTAACAAGACAGTACATAGTACGTTAACGATGAAAGATAATTAAGAGGGAGTGTTAAAAGGATAATTATCCAGAAATCGTTTTTTATTTTCATCGCCTTTTACCAACATTGTTAAGTCGATAACTCTTATTATTATATGTATTTTTCCATATAAATATATTGTTTCTCTTTATAAATAGAATAAACATACAAGTGAATAATAAGAAATCACTCCTCTCTATTCTTACCCACACATCGCTTTCATATCTCTCTGTCTCTCTACAAAATAAAAATACATATATAATAAAACATCATCACCTATATACAAACACATATATAATATCATATAATCTATATAAAAAATCAACATTTTACCCCACTAATTTTCATATTTTTTGTATTCTTTTTGGTTTTATGATTACAAATAAATAAAGGTTCTCAATAAAATAAATTAAAATATTTAAAATTTGTTTTTTTAAAGAAATTTGTTTTTTTTCTTATTTTTCATTTTAACTATGCTTCGCTTTCAAGTAATAAAAAACGAGAAATAGAGATAGTATAAAATTATCGAAAATTAGAACGCAATACAATACATGAATAAGCACACAATACAACTAATATAACATTAGTAGCATAAAAAAAACACAACTAATAAAACATACATAACTTAATTAATACAATAGACTCAACTCACAAACAATAATTTTTTTAAATCAGACGCAAATACTCTAAAATCTCTTTAATCACAAAACATTAGAAATAATGCCCATATATGTTGACTAGATCTGCTTGCAATTCGTGATTTACATTTGAATCATGCAACTCGGAATTATCACGCATAAGAAAACATGTTTCTGCTCGGAGTTGCATCATCATAAGTAGGTTGATCAGGAAAGTAGTGGACAATCAGTCTTTGATTTACTGCTATGTGATCTCTTTTGAAGTAATTTGTTTTGCTACGACTTAAATAGTTTTCCTATATTTTGTTTTGATACTCCCTAAACCAGAGGACGATATTTCTCTCTTCAATTTCAGACTGTCTTTTGTAAATTTTGATATCAAAAGGAAACTCTAATGGATCCATTGAGATTTTTTAGTAAGAAAATGTTTTTGGTATTGGTGCATAAATAGGAGAATAATTGAACTAGTATATTAAGTGGTTAGAGTCTTGGATTGAAATTGAATTGTTGAAACCGAAATAATTGGATAAGAATTGGATTCTCCCATTAAAAGTTAAAAGTCATGGATTGAATAAAAATTTAATTGAAATTAAGTGACTAAAAGCGAAAGAATTGAATAAAGATTGGACTATCCTATCAAAAGCCAAAAATCACTTATTGGATAAGGATTGAACTGACATTGAATAGTTGAAACCAAAAAAATTGGATTCTCCCGTGAAAGCAGAAAATAAAAAACAAACATTATTAAAGTAGAAAGTGACAGACAAACATTATTAGAGCAAAAAGTGATAAAATACAAACAGGCACTTGACAACAATTAATCTCCAAATAAATCATGCCCCAACTTCTCCAACAACTTTTTGCTCTGGTCATCAAGATGTTCTTTCTCACTTAGTTTCATAAACATCTTTATCTTCTTAGCCTGAGTCCTCTCGTTCAACTGCTGGTTTGCCTCCTTTTGCTTCATGGTTATCTTGTCTAATTGTTCCAACTCTTGCTCCTTGAATTGTTTGAATTTATTCCACTCTTCGTTGACCACTTCCAAAGCTATGCCCCTACCTTTTTTCTTACTTTTTTTTGTAGCTCCATCCCTTCCCATCGGACGAACTCTAGATCCTACAAAGTTGGAGTCAGTTGCATCATTCTCGTGGGTTTTTTTAATAATTTTATTTGTTTTAATAATAACTATCTATATTTCTCTTTTTTTTATTACTTGAAAGAAAATCCTAGTTAAAAATGTAAAATAATAACGTTTTCTAAAAAAAAAAACTTTTCAGTATTCAATTTAATTTTATTGAAAATTGTTACTAACTTGTAATCATAAAAAAACATAAAAGAAAATAAAATTTTGAAATAAAAGTAGTGGTCTAGAGTGTTGAATTTTATTAAACAAAATTTTGCATAGTGCAACAATCTTACTGTAAGTTGGATAATCTTCCTCTATTTTGTTTCGATACTCCCTAAATCGGAGGGCGATATACCTCTCGTCGATTTCAGATTGTCTTTTGTAAGTTTCAATATCAAAAGGAAATTTTGATGGATCCATTGAGATTTTTGAGGAAGATGAGATTTGTGGTATTGGTACATAAATAGGAGAATGAGTTCCCATTTATAAGATAACAGAACCAATAGATTAAGTGGTTCAAGGCTGGGATTGAAATTCAGTGATTGAAACCAAAAGAATTAGATAAGGGTTGTATTACTAAAAGCCAATGATCACATATTTGATAAGGATTGGATTGAAATTGAGTGGTTGAAGCCGAGAGGATTGGATAAAGATTGGATTCTCCATTAAAAACCAAAAGTGATGGATTGAATAAGGATTGGATTGAAATTGAGTGATTAAAACCGAAAGGATGGAAGAAAAGAATAGATTCTTCCATCAAAAGCTGAAAATCATGTGTAGATAATGATTAAATGGAAATTAAATGGTTGAAACCAAAATGATTGAATTCTCCCATTAAAGCAGAAAATAACAAAATACAAACAAATAGTTGACAATAATTAATCTCCAAATAGATCGTGGTTCAACTTCTCCAACAACAAATAATGGTCATCGCGATGTTAGTTTTAACTTAGCTTCAAAAACATCTCTATCTTCTTTGCCTGCTCTTGCTTCATTGATATTTTTTCTAATCACTCCAGCTCTCGCCCCTTGAATTGTTTGAATTTATTCCACTCTTCGTTGATCACTTCCAAGGCTGCACCCTTACCTTTCTTTTTACTTTCTTTTTAGCTCATCCCTTTCCATCGAACAAGCACTAGATCCTACAGAGTTGGAGTCATTTGCATCACTCTCGTGGGCTCTCTTAGATCTACTACTTCCATAGCTAGTATTTTCTCGTACCTGACTACCAGAATGGGTTTGATCACGAACATCTAGCCATTCTTTGATTGAATTGAAATTTTCATTCTTGCTACTTGAATATAGTTCATGCGCTTCTGCCAATACATCATTTTCCGACCACCTGTTTTGTTTCACAAGCTTAGTGTTATCATATGCGCCAACCCATTTGGCTAATATTTTATTCACATATCTGTAATGATTCCTGCACGAAGTTCTGCCAGAAACTTTACCTACAATATGATTCACTTTTTGTGTTTCTACCAAGAACGTTGTTGGTTACATATTTAATCAACCCACTCAGTAGCACAAAATTATTCTTAGTTGTCCATCTGGGTCTTTTCTGGCGAGCAGAAATTGAATCCTCTGCATCTGGAGTGGCTTCATTAACACCATTCATACCACCAAGAGCGATTTGTATAGAAAATTCAGGAAATTCAATTGCACCAACATTCAGAATTATTTCATTATCTGTTGGAGTAAAAGAATAAGAAGATGCTTGAGATGGATATGGAATCATCGATCTATAATATGGATGATAGTTTGGAGGCTAACGAAATGAAGAAATTTGGTGGAGCACCATAATTTGGTATTTACTATGGTTGATTAGAAGATTGAATTTAAAATTGATAATTATTGGGATTTGAGTAATTAAAAGGGCAGTTAAGGGTAGGCTTGGTGTTGATTGTAACCAAAACATTAAGTCTTTTATGAACATTTTGTCTTTGTGATGTTCTGTTTTAGAGTTTGAAAGAAAAACATCAAAGAAACATTCTTCTCATTCTCACCAACTGAATAATCTTGTTACACACACATACATAATATATCGCCTAAGCTAGTCTTCTTTTAACAACTTCCAAGGACAACTACTCCCACTAGCCTAGACAAATCAGCCACACTAGAAACAGTAACACTACTAGCTCAACAACTCTTGTTACCAAAAGGAACTTCTAGTTTAGTTATTTAAACTTTCTTAGTTTGGTTTGAGACACAAATGAGCATTACTCAACACTCCCACTTGCTCTTTTGTCTCTCAAACCAAGCTCGTATCGAAAGTACTCATAGCTCTAACCTCCCAAGGGCTTAGTAAAGATATCGGCCATTTGATCCTCACCTTTGTAGAACTTCAACTGAATATCTCTGTTTTTCTCTGCATCTCTAACAACATGATACTTGATCTGAATGTGCTTGGTCCTTCTATGTTGAACTGGATTTTTCCCAATCGCTATAGCTGACTGGCTATCACTATAGATATGAACTCCTCCTTCGGTGATGAAGTGTAAGTCAGCAAACAGTCTCCTTAACCACATTGCCTGATTTGTAGTTGCACACAATGCCATATACTCGGCTTCAGCAGTTGACTGAGCTATAGTATCTTGTTTGCTGGTTTGCCATGAGAAGATAGCTGATCCAATGGTGAAGCAGTATCCTGTGGTTGATTTTAGATCATCTCTGCATCCTCCCCAGTCACTATCTGAATATCCGATCAGTTTCGGTTCCTTGACAGCAGTAAACATCAAGCTCAGATTTAAACTTCCTTTGATGTACTTAAGTACTCTCTTTGCTTCCTTGAAGTGACTAACCTTGGGTTCTTTCAAATACCTTGACAAGTAAGATGCTGAGAACATCAGGTCAGGTCGTGTGGCTGTAAGGTATAAGAGTCCTCCCACTAGGCTTCTATAGATTTTAGGATCCACAAGCTCTTCTTCAACGTTTTGATTCTTGCCTTGTGGAACCAAGGGCGTTCTCATACTGGTGCAATCCTTCATGTTGGACTTAGCCAAAAGCCTCTTCGCATAGCACTCTTGAGATAGAGAAATTCCCTCTTCTAGTTGAGTTATCTCCATTCCCAAAAAATAATTCAGTAATCCTAGATCAGACATCTCAAATTCATTCTTCATTACTGCCTTGAATTCTTCGATCATTTTCTCATCATCTCCAGTTACTATGAGATCATCTACATAGATACAAACCACCAAAAGCTTTCCATGATCCACCTTAGTGTACAATGCATGATCATTCTCACTCCTTCTGAAGTTCTCTCGCAAGAAAAACTCATCGATTCTACTATACCAGGCTCTTGGAGCCTGCTTTAGGCCATAGAGAGCTTTGTGCAACCTAAGCACATGACCTTCCTTTCCCTCTTCCTCAAAACCGAGTGGTTGTTCAACATATATCTCCTCTTCAAGATTACCATTGAGAAAAGCTGATTTAACATCAAGTTGGAATAGCTTCCATTTTCTTTGAGCAGCAACAGCTAGGAGTACACGAATGGTAGAGACAGGTGCAAAAGTCTCCAAGTAATCGACACCATATTGCTGAGTAAATCCTCTTGCAACAAGTCTTGCTTTGTGCCTTACAACATTACCTTTGGCATCTTGCTTCAATCGATATATCCATTTGACTCCAATTATGTTTTTTCTTGCAGGGCTTTCAACTAGCTCCCATGTCTGGTTTTTGACAATCATTTGAATTTTCTCTTCCATTGCTTCTCTCCATTCATTGTGTTTAGCCGCCTCTTCAAACAGAGCTGGTTCTTCTTCAGAGCTTGAGTAACATTCTTCACAGACTCCAGAGTACTCGATGTTTGCATATGGAGCAGTGAGAAGAATGTCCTCAAGTGATCGAGTTTTTTGATTTGGTCGAGCTGAGCAGGGCTGTATAAGATCGGACTTGAGACACTAGGCTGCGAATCTCTAATATCCATGGGTTCATCATTTCTTGATCCTGACTCATCACCTTTAAGATTTCCGTTTGCAGCATCTGATTCAGGAGATATGTCAACATGTTTTACCACTTCTTTCTTTTCCCAATCCCACTTGCTATCTTCTTCAAAGATAACATCTCTAGAGATGTCTATCTTGTCTTCTTTCAGCAAATACACCCTGTATCCTTTCGTTTGAGAGCTGTATCCAAGAAATATCCCTTTCCTTGACTTATCGTCCCACTTCTTTCTCTTTTCATCAGGTATATGAACATGACACACACAACCAAATACTCTCATATGACTTAGTGATGGTTTAGTTCCATTCCAAGCTTCAAACGGAGTCTTGCTTTCAAGTGCTTTAGTCGGCGTTCTGTTTTGAACATAAGCTGCAGAGTAGACAGCTTCAGCCCAAAACGTTAGAGGAAGATCCTTTTGCTTTTATCATGGCTCGAGCCATTTCCACTAGACTTCGGTTTCTCCTTTCAGAGACTCCATTTTGTTGTGGGGAATAAGCTGCTGTGAGCTGCCTCTCAATGCCATGGTCTTTTAGGAATCTAGTGAAATCTCCGGAGAGGTATTCTGTTCCTCTATCTATTCTTATTTTCTTGATCTTGCAACTCGTTTGATTTTCGACTAGATTCTTGAACTTTTTAAAAGTTTGAAACACCTCTGATTTGGCTTTTAAGAAGTAGACCCAGATCATTCTTGTTGCATCATCTATGAAGGTGAGTAAGTACCTGCTTCTACTGAAGGACTTGTTTTGCATAGGACCGCATATATCACTATGAATAAGCTCCAACTTTTCTTTTGCTCTTCTTTAGGTTTCCTTTGGAAATGAATCTCGACAGTGCTTTCCAATGATGCAGCTTTCACATTTCTCTTGACTTATGTTGAACTTTGGTAATCCAACAACCATCTCCTTCGACTGCATTATCTCCAGATTTGAGTTTCCTGTGTGACCCAACCTTTTGTGTCATAATTCTGCAACTTCATTCTTAGCTACCATTGCTGATTCTTCATTTGAAGGCCATTTGATGTGGAAACTCTTGTTTTTCATCATCACTTCTCCTATGCTTCTCCCAACCCGATCATAGATGAAGCAGCTTCTTTCTTGGAAGACCACTTTGTAACCATTGGAGATCATTTGTGGTACACTTAACAGATTTTTGCCAAGTTTAGGCACTAGAAAAACATTTTTTATGATTCTCTTGCCTCTTTTTGTGTTCATCTCTCTATCTCCTTTTCCTTTGGAGATTAGCACAGCTCCATTTCCAACCTTTATTGGAATGTTTATACTTGTGTTGATGTTGACAGAGATCTTCTCGTCAGGCGTCATGTGATTTGTACATCCGCTGTCAATAAGCCACATACTTCTCTCACTTGATTCTTCCTCCTTTCGATTTGCAGTGAACGTGTGTTCTGTTCCTTCTTCATTTGAGTAATCCTTCATGCTTTTGCTTGTTTCTGCGTGAATCTCCTTCACATATTCTTTGGATGCTTCTCCAACCAGTTTCTGCT